GATTTAGGCGCTCAAGAATACATACGGAGATGATAAATTAAGCCACTACAGTTACGAAACCTACTCACACCAGTAATTCCTCTAACTACTAAGATTGTGTTGGCTTAACTGGATTGCACAACAAACAAGTATAATTAACTAAAGAGTGTCAATAAGGGTGTCGTAATTTTGTTCGGATAAACATGTTACTTAAAGTAGTTAAACATAGATAATTAAGCCTAAAAAATTAAAAAACGAACGTAAGTTCACTAAGATCTACCTAACAGAGGACAAACTACATCGTTTCGAGACTGATGACAACAGTCATTTAGGCAACAAAACATATTTGACGGCACAACTAACTTTTCTACAGTAACATTATTTACTGACGGTCTACTACAAAGCAACTACGGTTTTTAATAAGCTCTCTATGAATTAAGGTATTATTCCAGAATGTAATACATGTCCAGTAAAAAGCAATCTGACATGGTGAATAAAAATTACAGACATAGAAAAATTAACAGTATTATCTAGGTGGTAATAGATACAACATCACAACGTGACAAACAAGGACGTTATTTCGGCCTATGGAATATATATATATGCATATTAAGAATTCCAGTTTGATGGTAGATTTTAATATAGATATACATTTATATGAGGGAAGCCACTGTAAAATTGCAACCCAATGAATTTTCATATTCACCTGTTCTTTCATTTTGTCGAAAGAATCTAAAACATTTGTAGTGGTGAAGTAAATCTGTATATAGAAATAATAATTAATTTTTACATGATATTTAATAATAATAAAATTGCCATAGAATTCGTTTACTGAATTTTACTTGTTTATCCACTTAATATTAAGTTAAATCGAGTAGTTTGATTTTTATTATAGTGGAAATCAACAGTCTATGGAACCTTATTTGATTAATTTTTTGGTAACTAGATACGCAAGATAATCATAAATAGTTAGGGATTTAATTTTACAGAAAAAGATATTTCATGTACTGATGTGCATTATTATTCATACTCAAGATTAATGTTTTACTGAATTAGCCTTTGCGGTACCACTTTTATAAACATGAGTTGTGCTTATCACATATAATAAACTCGTGAGTGTAATTACAATTTAAGAGGTTTACCACATACCTTATAAATATTTTAAATTAACATGTGGAATTTGTAACACGGATACTTATTATGTTTTGAAGCGTCTGAAATGTAAAAATAAGAATATCGCTAAAACCGTCTGATCATTATAATTTAATATCAAACCGTTTAATCATAATATTGAATTTGATTGTTTTTCCGAAAATACTAAATTTAATATCAGTGTCAAGATTTTGCAAGATTATGAATTAATTGAATCACCCCCGTTGATGAACGTCCACAGTGGAGCATTTGAACTTAGTTAACATAATTCAAATGCTCAGATAATATTGTTATAATAAATGTCAAGTAAATAACACTGACCATCAACATTCTGAGGTTTCCGAACAGAGATTAGGAACTTGGATACCATTATTTTACACTTGAAATACATCATAATTTACAATAAATTAGTAAAAAAAAGGCTCAAATTCTAAGTTGTCACATTAATGATTGGTGTTCATTACAATGGAAACATTGTTAATTTCGTTCCAAAATAAGCTGATCTGACAAGTGAAAGTAATGGTTTTGTTCCGTATTCAAAGTATATTAATACGTTATAGAATTAAAAATGGGTTATAGTAAAAATGTTGAAGACCCACAGAAGTTTGTGATAATTAATATAAAATTTAGTTTTACATCGGCATATGTGTCTTTGAATATATGTACAGAATGGTCATGTTTATTACTGATTCCATTAATATTGTATCTAACATCGAAATGAGTAGAGATATTTCGTGAATGAACATTGCCAGACCCGATCAACGCAAGTGATTACCTTGAATATCTTCACCCGATTCCACTTCATAAATACCGACTGATATGTTTCATCTATAATCTATTACATTAATAACGATTACGTCAAACATATGTGAACCACGACAATATTTCGTAACATTACGTGGTTTAGCTAGTTTATTTTCGACTTCCACGTAATCGAGGTTTACCTACTAAATGCAATGTAATCCCAAAAAATATATAGATGACGACGTCAATTTGTAATAATGAATAAAAAATAGGTATACACATATTGTTCATTTTTCGAAAAAATTGTGTTTTAGCATAAGTGGAAGACTGTTAAATCATTTGTCAAGATGGCTTTAAAGAGCTATTTCACTTCTTCCTGACACTTCACGCCAAATCATGATTCCATCAACTTATAAGGTATATGTGCCTGTGATTTTGTTCTGATCTCGTTTATTGAAGAAACAAAACTGAAGCTGACCGTCTACGTCATGCTTCCTCTGTCATTTACCTACCAGCTGGACGATGTACAGTGTGAAGATTTCTGAACTACGCATAAAATCAACGTTGTGAATCTAGTAAACAAATCTTTAAGTTGTGACCGCTTAAGCACCGCGACGCATACAACATAGATCCACTTTCCCTAAATTTCGTAAACGAAATCCATTACAATGAAGGCCTTAAAGGCGAATGCTCTCTCTGTTTGATCCGTTAGACGATGAAGCCATGGGCTTCGCTCATGAAAATTTTCGGTAAATCGTGGTTATGATTTACTGACTATCTGGTTACGGTGAACAATCTACCTATCATGAGAACATGAGAGAAGGTTCGACATCCATAAACATTAGCTTGTTCAATTCATCTTATACAGGATATTAAGATTGAAGATGGCACAGGTATTCAGTGTTTGACAACGCTTTTTCCAGTAACACCTTCTAATATAATTAGTACCTACCAAGAAAAATCAAAAGACAGAGTCGAGGAGATCGGAAGAGTGTTTATTGCGATAACCAATATATCGGAATTCTCTGATCTAATCTGGCCAGCGATTGCAGTAAATGTTGAGCACGGCGTTCCCACACGTGATCTGATACGGATGCCTGACCGAGCGCCTTCAGCTAGGTGAGTCCACTAAAACTAATCTGGTCAACATCTAATGTCGAAAACCTACAGAGCTATTTATTTTGGGGATTTATTTAACACTACAGATCACTCCCCCCCTCCGAGTGGGGCAGTGACGACCCTAAGACGTGGCCAGCCAGAAGTTTAAACCCAACGAGTTTGTCGTTGGTAAACACTCTTCTGATAGCTTACTAAGTTTAGCAGCGTCTAGTCGTCTTTCCTTACTATATGGTACCATGAAGTACAGTATAGTAAAAAAAGAAAAAGTACAATGAAAATTTCGGCTCCTCGTAAACTTCGTCGTTCCTTTCCTGCCGTCCTGGAAAAGAAAAAAGAAAATGTAAGTGCATGTCAAAATACACTCGTATATGCGTAAAGACACAATGTCGGCGAAAAAAGTGGAAAATAAACCCATATACACGTAATATCGTTACAAAAATGGATTTTTATAATGTTTTTTTGTTTGGTTTTTTCGAAATAAAAATAAACATATATAAGCATATCAAAGTCTTTTTTTTAAATATTACATGTGGTAAAAAGAAAAATCGAGATAATATAAAATGTCAAGTAGTGCCTTACGTGCAATAATCGTCTAAATGTTCTGGAAATCTTACTCTTCTTCCAAAACGCGTCGTTTTAAGTTTATTTTCTGATACTATTGAAGTATCATCGTGTGTATTGCCTGTCGGTTGGGGTACGAAAACGTACTATATCGTAAGTCAGGTTGAAGGAAAACATCGGTGGATTGTGGTTGCGTGGAAGCAGGTGTAGCAGTAAATAAATCCCCGAAATAAATAGCTCTGTAAGTTTTCGACATTAGATGCTGACCAGATTAGTTTTAGTGGACTCACCTAGCTGAAGGCGCTCGGTCGGGCATCCGCACCAGGTCACGTGTGGTAACGCCGTGCTCAACATCAACCGCAATCGCTAGCCAGAATAGATCAGAGAATTCCGATATATTGGTTATCGCAATAAACACTCTTCCGATCTCCTCGACTCTGTCTTTTGATTTTTCTTGGTGGGTACGAATTATATTAGAAGGTGTTACTGGAAAAAGCTTTGTCAAACACTGAATACCTGTGCCATCATCATTGGTGAACCCGACGTGATCTGGTACACCTAATTGCAACTGTGATTCTGTTCCTTTTTGGGATTTTCATATATATAATTGCCTTATTTTTTTATACATTGTGATATTTTTACCCGCGTTTTTGGATATCTATATATTTTTCACTCGTGTATTTTCGTACCTAATATTCCCCTATGACCGAACAGACTCTTAAGGTATTTAAGATTAAGACCATGTCTCCACCCTCGTTCCAACTCATGTCCTTTTGGCCCGACAATATAGAAGCCTAGTTCTGCTACACAGAAGCCGACTTCCACGAGCACGGCGTGACCGACACACGTGCACAATTCCTCGCAGTAGTCAAGGCATTACCGCGCGAATTCAACAGGTACCTAACACCTAGTATGTTTACTAGTGATGTTTCTGAACCTTACGAAACCTTAAAGCGTTCGATTCTTAAACGAGGAGACCTAATCGATCGACAAAGTTTAGATCATCTCTTAAATAACATAGACCTGCAACACGGTTCTGCGACGGACATGTTGCAAAGAATGAGAGAGGTGATAGGCCTAAGAACAATCGACGAAGGCCTATTCAAACAAATTTTCTTGTCCAAACTTCCCCGATAGGTCCAAGCGGTTCTGGTCTCGTTTCAAAACAACGCCTTAAACGAGCTGGCTGCATCTGCCGATTGCATTGCGTTTGTGAGCCTATTCGTGTAGGAGGTTAGATCCATATTCATTGAATAGGATGAAGGATCCACAAATTCTCCTGGAAGTCGAAGTGTCGTTCCATAAACGAGTTGAGCCGCAGTGTATCCAATGTCAGCTTTCACTGCATTGCGGATACCTAGTAAGACGAGCGGAAGAGCATCGGTCCACTGTGAAACGTTTGAAGCTGATAGTGAAGCTTTCAGTTGTCAGTGAAAGCGTTCTACCAACCCGTTTGCTTGTGGGTGGTAGGCGGTCGTTCGGAATCGAGTGATTCCTAAAAGTGTGATTAGACGACGGAAAAGATCGGATTCAAACTGACGTCCGCGGTCTGTAGTGATGGTTGAAGGGCAACCGAAGTTTGCTACCCATCGTTCGACGAAGGTGCGGGCCACTGTTTCAGCAGTGATGTCCTTGATAGGTACTGCTTCTGGCCATCGAGTGAAACGGTCTACGCAGGTTAAGAGATAAGAGTATACATTTGAATCTGGTAAAGGTCCTACCAAATCCAAATGAACATGGTCGAAACGAGCACTGGGAGTTTTAAACGAGCCTAAGGGACATTTATTGTGTCTGGTAACCTTAGATTTTTGGCAGCTTAAACAGGAGCGTGCCCATTCCCTCACGTCTTTATTCATTCCAGGCCAGCAAAACCTTTCTGCTATAAGCTTGATGGTTGCACGAACACCTGGATGCGAAAGTTTGTGCAATGTGTTGAAGACATTGCGTCGATAATGTTTCGGCACGATTGGGCGATCCCTATCAGTAGATGTGTAGTGCCAGTTATTGTGTTAATCCTATATACCTTATTCTAGCTTTCGGATATCCTATTCTAGTAATTCTACTTGAGTCATATTTTGACCTTGTCAATTATTCGCTTATCAGTCTTGACTGTTTTTATATGAGCGTATATGTGTGTACATTTCATATCCCATGTCTCATCACATGTCTGTAGCTTATTTTTGTCTGCTTATAAATATTAATTAACGCCTGACTAAAAATGAGTTGACTTACCAGCCATCTCCACTCTGCGTCGCTTCTCTTTCTGCTATTCCATTCACCTCATATACAAAACATATGTATTCAAAATCCCATTCTCGTTATTTGACTTATTTAATCCCGGTAATGACTAACATGATCAAAGCCGACGATGATATACGAGAATAAGCGATAACAAACATCCATGCGATCTAAACAGGAGTCAGACCCACGGGCCACTAAAGATGTGTCACAAAGTAAGGTTTCCTTACCTGTTCCCATCTGTTTGATGTGTAGTTTGAGGGTTGTAGACGATAACTCGTGCTGAAGATCAGTGTCTCCTTTTTGAAGCTCGGCGAGTTTAAGAAGGTCGATTCCTTGGAAACTGTTCAAGGAAGTTATGCAAGACAAAGCGTCTGCGACTACATTGTTTGCTCCAGAAATGTGTTGAATAACTGAAGTAAACTGCGAAATGTACTCACGAGGTGAGTTCTTGTCAGAGGAAGAGCTTAAAGAATAGGTAAGAGGTTTATGGTCATTGAATTTATTTACCGCTACAAGACTAACAAAACTTCGACTTGACGACGACTCTTTTTCATTCTGCATTCATATTTAATACAAAATCACTCTCTTTTCCATGGATATCGTATATAATAAAGTGGTAGTAGGCTTAGTTCTCGTAGACTGTGAATCATCTGTCTGCTTTTCCATGTAAAACGACATGACTGCGGTAATACAATTCGCTTAGTGCTGCTCCTTCGAATTTGGGATTTTTTATTAGGCACCTTAAAAGACTAGCAAGCTGTTTTATTATTAGCTGATGGTAAAATGGATTTAGCTTCATATTTCAGAAACTCGGGTACAGGTGAATACGAAATGAGTACGGCCAGTTTTTGAGATGTTAAAACTGTGGCGTGGCGTCGAGTTGAGATTAACTATGAACACCGCTACAAAGAAACACGTGCCAAATAAATCAGAAGGCGAAGGTCGAACGTAACCAAAGAAACCCATAAAATTTACGAGAAGCCAAATATCAGAAGACAGTTAATGGACCAAGTCGACGTTTATTTGCTGGCGATCTCGTGGCATCGAAAGGATACCGAGATCGTGCCAGGATACAAGCTTGGTTACAGAACGTAACCGAATCCGCGCGAAGTTACAATCAAAGTTTAAGTAAAAGAATGGAAGCACAAAATAGCTGTCACTAGCACAGTCAAACAACAGCACATTAAAACAGTCACTGGTACAGTTGGTTATAATAATAATTGTTTTTATTAAACCAGTCGTGTTCTCATGATAAATGTGAGTCACTACAAAACCATAGATTCACTTGTGGCATTCATTTGATACTACCAACCCTAAAACATGTTAACGGGACCTGAAGCATTAATCTAGCTCCATTAAAAGTATTCCTTATGTTAGGTAACTTCAAACAAATATTTGAGGACTTCCCTAAAGTAAATGAGATGGCCTTTCGTCTCCCGGAATCACTGGTATTAGCTCATGACCAGGATGATCAACTATAACCACTCCATAGCAATACTATGAACTCATAATATCGCCAACTCAGTCTACCACGGACTTTCCACTTTATTCCTTTTCACACTGGCTCGATACAGCCAGTTGGTCATCTTTAGAACGGACCAACAGTTATTATTAGCAGCACGTTCAGTACTCAGTGAAAAGTTAGAGGAGTAAGAAGGAGAAAAAAGTGCGGAGTGACTAGTAAAAAATTGCGCGCGCTAATTAAAAGGACAGTGGTATTTTTCCTCGCTGAGCTAATTCTATTGTTTTGATCGTTTATTATGTGTCAAGACAACTGTTTTCACCTACGAAGGAGGAAAAACAGTCTTCAAAAAAGTTTTTCTTAACCAAAAACCCAAGAAAATAAGTTTCTTCTATCCCGTGTCTTCTAAATGATATCCAGCAGGGAACGCCTAGGAGCCGCAATCGCAAGGCCCGGTGTATTTTTCGTAGGAAACATAAACTGACCACCCATATCGTTGGCAACCCTCCGGAATCCCACAGTATGTTTGACGCAACTGTGGTTTATTCTCCCAGCAGCGTTGACGAATGGGCACAGGTTGTAAGGAAGAAACAGCATAACTATATAAAAGTTAATCCTGCCCCCATAAAAGAAGTCGAGAAATCGAAGGCTCATCACAGTGACAGATCAGTTATCTTTCATAGAAACAAGGTGAGTGAAAGCTCTGAGACAAAAACTCGTTTTAAGCATGACATTGTGTTGATAAAACAGCTACCTAATCAACTGACGCCTTAAAATATCCAGGAAGTCACCCTGTTGAACGTGTACAGACTAGGTAGTCTAGCGAACGTGAAGCCTAATCCATCCAGATTGCTTAAAGTAGTATTCAAATCTTCGAATGAACGCGACTTAATTTTACAGAATGGACGTAAATTAAAGGGTTCAGGAGTTTTGATCTTTCATGACTTGCCGTTGGCAGACCGCGTATAAAGACGGGAAGCCGAAAAAGAACTAGAACTTGGGTTAGACGCTGGCGAAATAGATATAAAAATTGTAAATTGACTCTACAAAGCCAGACACAATCACAGTCACAGAAACCTGGCTGACACAGACTATGGATAGTATGGAACTGGATTTCGATGGTTTTATGTTACTAAGGGCCGACAGAATACAAAAGCGTAAAGGAGGGGAAGTAGCTCTATTCATTAGGCATGCTATCCCATTTGCCATTATGGACAGTGTATCCCATGAGAGTGGGACGTGTGAATTAGTTTGTTGCCTCTTGATAAGAGCTGGTTAGATCTATCGTAGTCCAAGCTGAGAGGTGAATGAGCTGCTGTGTAATCTAAATACTTGGTCATAAAGTGGTCGATGTCTAATCCTAGGGCACTTTATTGCAATAATGGTAGACTGGGTAAAACTGAGAACTGAATCGTCAGAAAATTCCTTCGAGCAGGAAATAGTTGATGCGCTTATCACATGTGCGCTAGTGCAACACGTGCAAAAAGCGAAAAGGTACGAAACGGAAAATGAATCATTTTTAATATATCTCATATTGCTTCGCTATGAGGATGACGTTGCGAATCTCCATTACATGTCATCCCTAGGTAAATGTGATCATTCAGTTTTAAGTTTCGAAATCCATAAAAACAATTAGTCACTTTTATAAATTTCGATAGAACAATGAGAAGACGGAGTTGATCTGAAAAATGTGATGTATTTGCGCTATACATTTCGAACAATCTGGTCACACATATACTTGTCAAGGCATTTTTATATGAAAATTAATAAAGGTCAAACAAACAAATAAAAGTACAACTCAAATAACTAAGGGGGGGGGAGAAAGAATAAGAAATTGTCGCGTTATCCTAGGCCATAGAATGACTTAAGGATTACCAAGGTAAATTCAAGGTTACGACAAATTGTTTTTGTACACATAAGGGCGGTTTAAATTTACGAATAGCTAAGGCTTCAATAAACTTAAGAATTCGACCCTGACAATTTCTATACAACATTCTAAATGCTGTATTAATGTTAATTTTGTGCCCCGTCTCAATTATGTGTTTTGCTATTGATGAACTTGGTTTTCTACCTCCTACATTGATCGGATCATTTGACACACACTGATTTTGAAGCCATCTGGGTACATGTTCATTGACCCTTGATTGCATTGTTCGATTACTCCTCCCTATGTATGTGTGTCCACACAAACATGTAAATTGGTAAATACAATGGGATGTGACGTAATCATTAGTGCATTGTTTGGGTCTATTATGAATCATGGCCTTAGACTTTTCAATCACTACCAACTGAGCAGCATAATACGTATTCTCAATGGCTGCTTTCAATCTGTGCCTTAAAACTATACTGTTTGATTCGCCTCTATATGGTAGATTGATGTAAACCTTTTTCTTTGGCACTGAATAAATTAGAGGTCTTGGCATTAACTGACTTTTACACCTATTAATAAACTTGAGTGGATAACCATTTGCTATTAAAGTGTCAGTCAGTAACTTTTCGTCTTTTCCCACCATATCAGAGGTACATATTCTTCGAGTCCTCTTAAAGAGGCACTTAACTAGACCTCTCTTGTATTGCAATGGACAGAAACTATGGAAATTTAGGTATTGTCCCGTCCAAGTTGGTTTCCTATACACGGACCGTCTAATAGTGCCATCATCCCTTCGACTTAAAAGTATGTCTAGAAAGGCTAATTGGCCATTACTTTCTGGTTCATGTGTCATCACAATATCATTTTGAACACCATTGAGTTTATCCAGTAATCGGTAAACATCAAAATCCTTATCACATATAATTAGAATATCGTCCATATATCTTCTATATAGAGTTGTCTCACCAATGAGGTCGCTCGTCATATTTTCCACATATGACATGAATACCTCAGCTAAGAGAGGCCCTAAAGGGCTACCCATAGCTACACCATCAACTTGTCGAAAATATTCACCATCAAATGTAAATTGAACATTAGCTGTACATAATAAAAGTAAATCTTTCAAAAATGGTGACGGGATAGGAAAAAGGGGAAAGTTTTTTGAAATATAGTCACAAAGGAAATCCACCGTCTTTGTTAACGGTACATTCGTGAAGAGGGAGTTTACATCAAATGAATGCAAAGATTTATCTTTAATATTAATATCACCAAGAAAGTCAATTAGTTCAAATGTATCTTTTAAAGAGGACTTACATAGATTAGTACGAATAGGGTTTAACAGTTTTACTAACCATTTAGCTAGCTAGTGTGTGGGAGAACCACGCATAGACAAAATTGGTCGTAATGGAATATTAGGTTTATGAATTTTAGGTAATCCATATAAATTCGGCAGAACTGAACCCGAGGGTTTTAGTATATTAAACTCCTCGTTGTTTATGACGTTCATTTTAAGAAGCTTTAATAGATTGGACTTCAATCTGGATTCCAATTTTGTAACATTAATATTAGAAGAAACGTCCTGTAAGAATTTACTTTGATCACCCAGTATAGATAACATTTTGTCTTTATATTCACATTTATTGATAACGACCACCCCAGAACCTTTGTCAGGTCTGAGGATCACAATATCTGATCTACTTTGGAGGTGTTTTAACGCAGCCGAATGTTTAGGAGTCAAAATACTTCTTTGTCTGACTTGAGATCCGTGAAAGTGGTGGGCAACGTCAACCAATTTCACCTTTAATCAATTTTTCCTATCCAGGGTGGTTGGGACAAGAGGGTTCAACTGATCATAAAGATTTTCAAATTGAGCATCTATCGACAGATCAGAAATCTTGGTATGTGCAACGGA